CTTCTCCAGAGCCACTTTGGGTTGGATCCACAAAGGAGGTAAGGGTAGAATTTATTTCAACTAATCTTTGAGGCCTACCGAGTAGTTACCAACATCTGAACTATACATTTGTTATTTTTTTATGGCCAATGGATGAAAAGGCACTTCTGGGATACAGATCACCTCTCAAAAGGTAGATGCATCAGCTGGGTAAGAGAAGGGCAGCCCTGATGTGCTCATGAGCTGTAAAGGGGCTCTAGATTACTCCAACAGGTCTGGAAGGACAAATCTGAAGTGAGGTGGAATAAGCCCCATCCCAAGGGCTCAGAAGAAGTGCCTACCTGCAGGTCATTCTCTGGACATTATCCATAACTGTTTTTGTCTTGAGACAACAGCAATGTCTACCGTCTAAGCCTAACAGGAATCAAATATGAGGTTATCTTTTACAGATTTCATATACTAATTGAGTTCTGCTTTGGTAAGCCTTTGGACATACCAGATCAAGACTTCTTGAAAGTCACCAACTGAAGTACCGCACAGGCCCTAATCCTGCTACTCATTCTAAAGAAAATATAAAAATATTTCCAAAAGATAAGATTCAGTTAGGTTTTCTATAATGTCTGTCTTACAGAAACACAGCATGTATACACAAAAATATTTACATACACATACATACACACACACACACATATATATATATGCCCCTATGTATTTGAAATAAGCCAATAAATGAACATTATCGGCACAGGATCAAAAGTTAGAAATAGCAGAATTAAGCTTGCAAATCTAAGTGACATTGGGATGCTTAAGTACTATTTGGATACATGTCTTCCAATGAAATCCTAGCACAAAAGAATTTGATGACATTTTCATTAACCTGAATTTTTTGAAGTAATTTATCCTTAAATATCTTAGTTGCAATTTGCAATACACTTTGTTATTTTGTCCTGCCTACCTACTTCCCTATAGTTTTGATTTTGCATTACTGTTTTTTTCTCACTCTCCCATCTCGATGTTGTGACTTCTCTCTTATTCTGTGTCCTTCTCCTGGCAGGCCAGACAAACAGAAATAACAAGCAAATTCTGAGAGCAGAAAAGAATAATTAAAAATATGTATCACAAGTGATTCCTTTAAACTAGTTCTTGTGAAAATGCTTATTATGCATAATAAGATCTTTGTGTAGAGGTATAACATCTCATGAATGTCTCCTACACTGGAAAGGAACAAAAGATTACTGAGCTGCTAAAATACCATTGTGAACCTGCTGTTTTGTTCTGAGAGCTTACATCCTAATTATAGTATTTTTCTTTTTTCTTTATTTAAGAGTCTTTTTTTATCGCAGTGCAGACTGGACATAAACATTCCTTTGGATCCTGTGTGTAAATAATGAAAACATAAAAACTATGGATTTTTCCCCTATCAAGGAGGTTAATAGTTTAATTGTATACGGTTATTCTTACATTAAAAGCTGCATACCTGGCAAGCTTTATCGGGTAACAGGGACTTTTAAATGTGCCAATGTTTCTACAGAAGTAACGCGGGTCAATTGCAAAAGGGATAACCATAATGATTAAATCATTAAAATTTTGTCTATGCTTCACAGAGCATAGAGAAAATTAACTTCCCACCAACCTCATTTTTCTGCTGAACATGAAATAATGATTTTCTGCTAGTATAATTACAAAGCTAACATCTGATAGAGTCAGCATCCAGGGGGGATTATCACATGCATGAGTATTAGACCTCATTACCAGCTTGACTGCAAAATTATTACATCTTGTAATTGGATGGTGAGATTTATATACAGATTGGCTGGGTTCTCTGTAAGATTGTAATTACAAGCTTCGTTGGTTCGCTACTTATCACACGGTGCAGGAGGAGGCAAAAACAAGCAGAGGAAAGACCATTTCATTAAGCCATAACCCTATCAAGGGAGGAGCACTGTAACATCCCTGTATTTATTAGGCCAAACAGAGCTGTTTGCAGAAGGGGAGGCCATTTATTACCGCCTGACAAATGGGATTTCATTTATTTAACCTCGGTGATCTATTTCAGTAAAATGTACAAACGAGCCATCCATTTTATGATTCCGGAGTCAACGCCTCAATTATCTAAAGGCTAACTGACTGTTAAAGCACCCATCTGCTAGGATGAATTCATTGATTTAATTTGCTTCATGTTACTGAATGATTCTTAGCAGACAGGGAGGGGATGGAAAGGGAAGGGAAGAAGGGAAGGAAGGAAGGGGGCGGCTGTGGTTTAGGAGAATGCATCAGAGTGATTCAGCACACCAGTCTGTCTGTGTGTCTGCGCGCGCACAGCCCTTTTTTTTTTATTCTTTCAGCACAATAGAAGAAGGAGATCAATAGCAGCTTAAATTTTATGAGACAAGGAGTTAAGTCGTTCAGCTCAAGCCAAAACACCTTTGTTCTACCATAACAAGTAATCTCTGTGGCGGAATTAATATTGACAAGCTGGCTTCTTTGTAGCTAATTTTGTGGGTGCCTGAGCCAATCGGAAGCCTCACAGTAATAGAGTTGTTATTAGAGTTCATTATAAAAGCTGTGGATCAATGGCTACACTGGGAGGGAGAGGACATGGTGCAGCAGAATGCATATGTATGCTCAAGGAAATGAAATCCTTTTAATGTCCTTGTAATAATTTATTCTATAGTTCTCTTTGACTAAAAAAAAAAAAAAAAGTCTTTCAAAAACAAAATTAAAAATCTTCCCTTGTGAGGCTTCTAATTTTATTGTAACACTGAAACTGATAGGAAGAAAAGCAGCATTTCAGGGGTAGGGAAATTCAGGGAGACTTTGTTACCCAGCTCTGAGTTTTATTACAAGTAGACTTTGTTTAGAAAATACCTCCACCCCTATTTTTATCCAAAGCACACAGGCTGGTTTGTCGAAAGCTTACACCGCTGTGAACAGAGCATTGACGTATTTTAAGGCACTCCTTTTCTCCTTCCTCTTTAAACCATCTGTCTCATTAAATCTGATTTTTAGGTTTTTTTTTTCTTTTATGTGGTGTCATTTTGTAAAAAACACCATTACATTCAAGGAGAAAAAGTCACAAATAGCATGCTAAAGCTTTTCTCTCATGTTTCTGGGAAGGAATGACCTGTATGCTGTGAGTTAGCACTTTCAGCAAGCTGACAAGGAGTTCACTGAACACAGCTCTTTGTAAAAGGTTGCCTCTTTCAGCTGTAAAAGGGTCCTCCTTGATGTAAGTGTTCCCAGAGTAATAATCCATTTCTCTTGTGGCAGGCTCCAACTCATACTATAATCTTTCCCACAAGCTCCAAATCAGTACAAGAAAGCTGTTTACTGGACAATTTTCCCTGCATCTCAATGTCAAATGATACTGCATTAAAATGTGAGAATATCACACTCTAAGAAAGGCAGGAGGATCAAAGGGAGCCCTCACGGTGAGTGAGTTGAAACAAATTAGCATCTTTTGGTCATGGTTTCCTAGATATAATAATGGTATTTCAGGGCCATAAGTTGTTTGCTTTGCTTCCTCCCCTTTATTTCACTATAAAAAAATAGCCATTTATTTTTTCCATCTCCCTATGCTTGTTTCTGCCAAAAAAATTGAATCACTTTCAACTGATGCAATTAAACAGGATAAGTCCCTTGTGTAGACACTGTTGTTTCAATTCCAGCAGATATCATTAAGTCAATATAAGAGACTCTTCCACAAAAATAAGACCATCGAGTATGAGCACTGTTCAGTCTGCTAGATTTTTTCTCAATTACCCCATTTTTCACCAAGATTGACAAAAAACAATCATTTCAATTTTCTCATTTCTTTTTTTCTTTTTTTTTTCTCCAAGCATCTATCTTAAAACTTAGATTCCTGCTATTTGGTGCAGTAACAGAAAATATTCTGTGAGAGAAAACCTGTGAATTAAAGAAACCTTGACATCATATTTTCCATCCACTTTTTCTTCCACTCACTCCTTCCAGCTGGAAGAAAGTAGAGGCTTAATATCTGGAACCAGTGACAGAATGCATTGAAAATGAGGGAAAAGGTCAAAATACAGGCAACGTAGGAAGCTAAAAATTTTAAGGAAAAAATGCTGTGTAAATTAGAAAGTTTTGAATTCGACAACTAATATCTTTTCTTATAATGGAAACCCCAGGCGCCAGTACAAGATGGGAGCTGACCTGCTGGAACGCAGATCTGCACAGAAGGACCTGGAGGTCAAGCTGTCCATGAGCCAGCAGTATGACCTTGGGGCAAAGAAGGTCAACAGTACCTTGGAATGCATTAGGAAGAGCATTGCCAGTGGGTGGAGGGAGATGATCCTGCCCCTCTACTCAGGCCTGGTGAGGCTGCATCTGGAGTGCTGTGTCCAGTTCTGGTGGGTGACAAAGAAGACTGAGGGACTGGAGCACCTCTCTTATGATGAAAGGCTGAGGGAGCTGGCCCTGTTCAGCCTCGAGAAGAGATGACTGAGAGGGAACCTCACCAATGTCTACAAGTACCTGAAAGGACCGTGCCAAGAGGATGGACCCAGGCTCTTCTCAGTGGTGCCAAACAAGAGGACAAGAGGTAACAGGCAGAAACTGATGCACAGGAAGTTCCACCTGAATATAAGCAGGAACTTCTTTACTGTGTGGGTGACCACACCCTGGAACAGGTTGTCCAGAGATGTTGTGGAGTCTCCCTCACTGGAGGTATTCAAGAACCATCTGGACACAATCCTGTGCCATGTGCTCTAGGATGACCCTGTTTGAGCAGGGAGGTTGGACCAGATGACCTCCTGTGGTCCCTTCCAACCTGACCCATTCTGTGATTCTTCACTTCTGTGATAATAACCTTAAATTTCAAAATTTGAACTGAATATACCTTGATTGGAATTTTGCTTTGAAAAAGACTAAAAGGGAAGTGTGACATATCCCCTTTTTCCCCAATTAAAATAAATAATTTTTCCAGCCACCCTCTGTTTGTTTTCTCTTTTCTTCATGACAGCTTATTTTTAATAGTGGAAGAATGCCAACAGAAACTTAACTGTGATTGTTATGATTTGTCATGCTGTTCTCTGACATTCACGTTCCTCCCAGTATCCTTCTGAGGGATGAGCCTCAGCCTTGATGATTTCACTGTTTTTCGGCGTTCATTATTTGTCCGCTATGGAAAGTCTGTAAGGAAAAAGATAATTGGTCAATGTGTCTCACAGATCAAAAGGAGTTTCCCTAGAACTTGCAAAATTAGCAAGATCCTGCAACAATAATGAGAACAAATAGCAAAAGACTTTTCAGCCACATAAATGAAAAGTAAAGTCTGATCACAATGATATTGACACAACAATTAAGAGCAATCTGGATCTGGCTCCAAAATTAAATTATTACCATCCTTACTGAAAATGGAGATAAAATACTATCCTTAGAGGTAAAGGCAAGACAGCTACTGGAATTAAAAGCAGAAATTCCCCTAGCAAATTATTACTTATTCAATAAATATATATTCTTGCAGACCATCCTTTTTCCAGCATACTGCTGTAAGTGCTCTGTGGTTAGGCCAGCCATGAACTACACAGAGCTGACATATAGGAAGCCCAGTACAGCAATTGCAAAATTGGTATTATGATTTCTCCCATGCATCTGTCCTCATTAATTAGTTTGTCAGGCCTCCAACCAGACCTTTTTAGTGTTGGCCTGAAGTTCCTTAGGACACGAAACTTTTTCTTCCAACATTTCTTGGGACACTTCATGTCAGTGTAATACAACTATAAAAATAATAACAAATTATCTTTAGTTTTCCATCTCCTTTCTATCAGATTTCATTTCTCTGAACCACTATTAGTCACTCTTTTTTATATCATTATTATTATTTTCCTTCTTTACACCATTTAAAATCTGGATATTATTCTGTTATTTTTTCTGATCGATGGAGCACCACGAATCCCTGATCACTGACTTTGAAAGTTACTTCTATATATCATATCATTGCAGTCCATTATAATTTCTAGCAACATATCCGGGGATGAAATCACTCCAGCACCAAAATCATTTTCTAATTCTCCTTGATTTCAATAGTGAGAGAGTTCCATGATGCAGATCTGATGGTCTGTCACAGCACTTGATTTTACTGATGTCGCTCCAATAATTTCACTGGGACTCTCTAGATTTACACTACATAAGAAGCAAAGAACTATCAATAAAATGGTTATTTGTAGAAGAGACTCTTCCTTTGCCACATCTCCTTAGTGGAGATGAAATAGATTGGGCACTTTTATTTTCTAAGCTCTTGTGTCACTAGCAGAAAGGTAGCAACATTTAAGCTGCTGCTCTGACCAACTGAGTATCCCATAATACTATTACTACTATAGCAGCAACTTTAGAACAACATACTTTTGAGTCCTTGAATGCAACTGGAATTTCTTTCTTTGGAGTTTTTGCCTGCTTTCTGAAAATATTTTGAACTGCGGGGGAAGCTATTCATTAGAACACACATTTTTCAGCCTTATTGCTCACAATTAACACACTCAATAAACCACTGAATACAGTCGTCTGTTATATATGCAGCTAGAGTAAAAGGCATCTACTTTTCAAGTTTTTAAGCTACTTGTCCTTCCACCTTATACCTCAAAAGTGGCCTGAGGCAGGAATGCATTGCAGTATAAATACATGCCTTGGAGTATGCTATTCTTTAGTAAACGTGTGTTGTAACGAGATAACACTGCACCTCCAGTAGTTTACCTGAAGGTCTACATTATCTCATTATGAAGTCTGTTCAGTCAAGTCTTATTGAGTAATTTAGGGTTTTTTAATTTATAAATATTCACTATGACTTGACTGTACAAATGGAACAAATAGGTGTTCAGTGCCAGTTGGCTGGTTGGTGTTATTTCAATACAAGCGCCAGCATTTCCACTAACTTTCATGAGAATAGCATATGCGCCGAGATATTTTTGAAAGAACTGTTTTACTCTTTTACAAATTCATACTCAATCTAACCTACATGCGCTAAGATATGAAGCATTTCACAAACTGAATATGTCCACAACTCAGAAAAGACATTTGCCAGGAAAAGAAGGAATCAAACAATGTAGCCATGGTAACCTGTGATTAAAGATCAGATCCAAAAGCTGACCACAAAACTGCTACCTACCATACACACATTCTCTCTTATCTCATTAGAAATAAATTCTGAAGAAAAGCTGAATTAAAAATCAGGGTTTTTTCTAGTAAATGTGGGTTGAAGGGTTCTTTAAAGCAGAACATAGAATAGCATGAGCTGGGCCAAAGACACCACCAAACCAGGATGTCTGTTAATAGCTCTAAGGAAACTTACTGAAAAGGCATGTTTATTGAATGGGTTTAGGAAGATATCAAACTGTGAAGGCGTGTGGAGTACCAGATTGTCTCTCAACAACTCTATAAAAGCAGACAGAGCAAAAACCTGTTACTGTGTGAAATAAAACCATATGACAGCTCAGGTCTTTGAAAGATCACCTGGTTCAACCTTTTGTGGAAAAGATGAGATTTGCTAGTACCCTGTCAAATTGTGTCTTGAAAACCTTCAGTGATGGGGACTCTTATCCCATTCTTAGGGAAGCTGTTACAGTGATTGATCTCACTTTGAAAATTTTCTTTCTCATATCAAGATGAAACCCATCATGGTACAATTTGTACCTGTTGTCCTTTGTTATCTCCATGTGGCTCCTCATGAAGAGTGTGGTGGTTTGGGCTAGGCCTTCCTTGGTGACCAGTTTGTAACCAAGGAAGGGTCCAGATTTACCCAGTATTCCCTACGATTTTTACGTAAGCCAGATTATAAGAAGAGAGGAGGAGAGGCCTTCGCCCTCTTTCCTTCCGGCGGCTTGGAGGTGCAGGTTCCCTGCTGTTGAGTCTGCCGTGTTGGGGAGCGAGGCCTGGTTAGGCCTTGCCAACCTTGGGAGACAGAGGTTGCCGGCGATCGTTCCGGAGCGACTCTCGGTTGTCCCAGGAGAGTAGTGAGATATTTTTCTTTGCTAACTTTTTAGTTGTTAGATATTGGGTCTTGGGATATCTATATATTTTATTTTAGTTTTGTTCCCTTTCCCTTCCCCCTTCCCTTTCCCTTGTGAAATTGTATATTTTAATTGTATATAAGTGTAAATATATTTATATATCTCATGGTTGTTTCTCTCTCATTTCGTGTTTTTCGTAGTTTTTTCTCCCTCTTCTCCCTGAGGTTTGGGGGGGGGACAACTTCTGGTGGTAAGGTTTGGAGACTTGGCAGGGAGCCAGCTTCAAACCATATCAAAGAGAAAGCCTCCATCCTCCAAAGCCACCCTTTAAGTGGAAGATGATGATGAAGTCCCCTGAGAGCCTTTTCTTCTCCAGGTGTTTTCTTCTCTGGTGTTTTACAGCCCTTTGATTATCCTCATGGACTTCTTTTGGTGATGAGATTGAATATTTTTGTTACCACTTACTATGCTTCATAACTAAAAAAACCAGATATAATATTTGGGAAGGACAGAGTGGTAGTTCAAGAGTCACTGCTGTCCCACTTGCTAACTCCACATCTGCCTGGTAATGACTTTGCTAATGGACAGGAAAAGCATCCTAACTAGGACAAGAAAGGAATCAGATAAGGGATTCATGAACTGGTTGGGCATTTGGGCACTACCTTGTCTTGTAATAATGACAGCGACACAATCATCAGTCCTCTGATCTACCCCATGCATGTGTTTTAGGCTTTGCTTTAATTACTCTGGGGGAGGAAAAGACTGAAGATGTCATCTGTCAGACTGGCAAAACTTCCTGGTTGCTGAATGAGAAAATACTGCTCTGGATCTATGTATTTTTAAGAATGTGGGGGTTCTTTTTCTACAGTCTAGTAAAACATAAGAAATATTTTATTTCTTAAGGGCACATTCCTTCATCTCATTATGAGGACATGATTAACAACTGATTGAAACGTAGCAGTAATATTAATTAATCTTTTACTATCACTTAGGTAAAAAATTGGTATTCTTGCTTGTGCATGTAAAAATAGTATTTTAAATAAAGCCTGTAATACTGGTAATGAATGCTCGAGAGTTCTTAGGAGTGACTTCACATGAACAACTCAACTCACAAGATTAATATGACACTAGAATAATTTTGTGTAACATAAAAAGATCTCTATCTTCATTTGCACAAAACTAAAATGAGCAAATGTCAGGAACACACCAGGACACAAAGAAATTATTTTTAAGTAAAAACTGGTAAACTCAGGTTTCTGCTGCTTTTGCCATTATTTACAAATCTATACATTTTTTTAAACAATAGGAGATTATTACTTCAAGCATTATTAAAACACCACAGAACAAACGAAGGGTTTGTTCATCAGGAGTATTTTCTTTCATTGTCCTTGTTCTATTTCGCCTATTGCAATTTTTCATTAATATAATTTCTCTGCTGACAGTAAATGCCAATAAGACTCATCATGCTAACAATCTCTGAGATCAAGAGATAAATCAAAACCACTGTTGTTTCTTATTTTAAGAAAAAGGCATTCCTTTAACACATTTTTTTAAGTCAGATATTTCTAGAGAGCAAGTTCCTCAAATACATTTTCTAACATTTGTTTGCCTACTAGCTTTGACAACTGTGATCTCAAAGAAACCATCGGTGTTCAGACACAATCAGAAGCCCTTCAGACTTCTAAACCCCCATGTTTTCCTGAAGATAAACACCATTGTGGAGGGGGCAGGGGAGGTGTACAGGAGGATAAAATTAGTGATAAATTCTCCCCAAAAAAACGATTTGGAAGACATGCTTAGAATTAGAGTCAGTACTTAGGCAACACCTCTCTCCCCACCAGCTTTCCACAAGCCATAGTAGGGTGTCAAAGTTAAGTCCATCTCCTTGTTCAGAGTCTTTGATCTAAGCGACAAAGCAATATTCTTTAGTTTGTTCCTCTGCTTTCTGTGATTTCCTCAGTATCTCATTCAAGGACTGAGCAGCCTAGGACTTTCTAACTTCCAGAAGACAGAAAAGAAAATAGGACTGCCGTTTGGCCATCTGGCTTCTGCAGTACTGCAGATCATTGGTGGTGACCAAATTGAGCTTTCTATGTCATTGATACCTGTTTTTAGCATAAGAGCACTCTATCTCCTCATGGAAGTATGATTTGTATTCCATTAACAAAATTACCAGTTTCAGTCCAA